GCCAGTCGATCTCTGAACGGTTGTTCAAGAGACAGTCAAAGTGTTTCCGCCAGACCTGCATTATGTCTGCAGTCTGGGTGCAGGTAGCGCCTGAACTACCATCGATCAGTGTCCTCAGCGGCTCCAATCTCGGTCCATACACCGCCTTCAACGAGTCAGAGAATTCCTTGTGTTGGCGGCGTTCGGCGTAGCATTCCATCTGCTTCGCCTTCTCCGTCCACCATACATTTTTAATGCGACGGAGCTCTCGGGTCAGTCGCCGTCGAAGTTTGCGAAACTGACTACTCTTCCCCAAGTCACTGGGGTCTGCCACATGTGCAGCAAATGTTGCACTCTTCTCCGACACCAATGCGCCAATCGTCGCATTGTTCTCATCAAACCAATCAGGCCGCTTACAGTTTGCGCGCCCGATGGTCTCTTTGGCAGCAGCTGTCACCTGGTCGCGAATGTGGTGCCACAGGTCGCCCACTGTGGCTATGCAATCCACATCACACAGGCGTGCAGCCATCGCCTTCTCCAGCTCAGTACATTTCGCCTCAGTACCGAGGGAGAGAATGTTAAATTTACGCCGATTCACAGCTGGAGTGCAATACATCGATTTACGAAATATATGTATAGTTTGGTCCGCACCAATTTGTGATCAGTGCCACACTCAGCTCCACGTGTCTCAAGGAATATAAATGTCAGAAAAACGTAACAGTCAACAGGTTACTCAATATTCAAGTGGACATGACTGTCATCTTGATGACAATTTTAACAGGACTATTTTTGGTCGAGAAATGTTATATTCTGTCCCATACAATAAATTAGAGGGGGCACTGAAAGTATTCAAGGCAACTGGTTCGCATTATATCCCGAGGACACACATCACTAGAGTCCAACAGACCTGTTTTCCCATTAATCATCAGTGGGCATGCTAATGTTCCTTCATTTAAATGTAGCGTTTTTGCTCAGGAATTCGCTTAAAAAGACGCGGAACTGAGGAATGCTACCTCGTCTCCTAATGTTCACGCGTATACGGGCTCTCCTTAGAATGATTGTGAAAAGTGTATTACTTAACAAATAGTAGTGGGTTTTGTTTTAGTATCGAAAAAATCGCTGTTGACATTGGAGTAATTTTGGAATTAACACAATACTGTAACGTTTATTTTCATTGTACGTAACCACAGAGGATGTAAATTAGGAAATTTGCAATGACCACGATAGTTAAGCTTGGAAGAGCCCGCAGGTTAGTTAATGAACGAGCACTGCACATTTTCCGTAGCTATCCTCCTGCGGATGGTTGAACACTTGCGAACGGTATTCTAAGGGCTATCGGGCTGACGTCTTAAGAAGAGTGGATCATACTTTCAAAAGCGGCATGGATCTGAAAATACTACCTATAAGATTCCTAGTTTTCGCCGAGCTATAGTTCACTTGTTTAGAAAAGTTGAGGGAACTCAGGTAATGCGCACTTAGTTCACGGATTGTGTATGATAGTTAGCGAGTGATGTTCCCTGTGTTTTCAATGAATTCGGGGCTACAATACAACGATGTAAAATGATACTGCATTTGCAGGTGTGGATTCCACTTTTTACGTGTCACACTAACGTTCGATTGCCTAGGGTTTATTTCTGACATTATTATTGCTTTATTTAAACCGTTATAGAAATAGAAGGCGATTTTGTTGTCGGTCAATAGGAATGGCTTCCCTTGAGTTAAAACAGGGAACATGTCACCAACATATGGTAAAGTTCGCCTTGGCAGATGCATCAGCAACGATGGGCGCGCATTGCAAAAGCCAGAACTGCCTTCTTGAACCTGCGGCATCTTTATCGACAGAAGGGAGCTTCCCTCCGTTTGAAAGGCCACACTGAGGGCCGTTCTGCTCTATGAGAGGGACACTTGGTCCCTACGATCTGAATATCTGAGGCACCAAGCTTTTGATCATTGTTGTCTGCGAAGCATTACTTATGTCGGATGGCACCAGCGTGTCCGCAACGATGATGTGCGTAGGCGAGTACTAGGTAGTGATAATCATGCTAGCTCCCTAGAACAACATAGCGCTGAATAAGTTGCGTTGCCTCGGGCACGTGCTAGGTATGCCTGGTTACCGCTTACCTACGAGGGCCTTGTTCAGTCTACCAGGTGTAGGATGGCGCAGGGCTCGAGGTGGACAGAAGTTGACTTGGCAGCGGGAAATGAAGTCACTGACGACCAAACTCTGAGTGCCGTCGGTCCGTCTCGGCTTCCAGGCTGGAGTCCACGTGACTCGCTTTGTGCTTTGCTCGAGACTTTACAGGACATGGCTCGCAACCGACACCAGTGGCGCGTCTGTTGTCGTCTCCTAATCGGATTGCCTGTTTAAAATGTGTTTGGTACGGAGTTATCTGCGGGTTAATAGCTGATTATGATGCAAGGCAATGAAGGCCGCAAAGAAGCTGTCTCGCTGACGCCACCCTATTTCTGCGTGGTAGCCAGCTGTTTGTGACGGCATGTTGTTAACACAAGGTGTAGGCGCCTTGACCCTGAGGGTTTGCTTTGGGCATTAAGGTTTACAGGTAAGTCCCCATTATCTTATTGTTCTTCGTCCCGTAAGTCATCATGTTTGTATGGCAGTGTAGCTTCAGTTCAAATGGTTGTTCTACTGCTGTTGTTGATGATTGATGGGCCTGGGATAGTAACCTGAAATAAACGACTAGTCTATACTTCGATTCCGTATTACTTAATTGACTTGATGTAACGCGTTTGCTTAAATATGATTTTAAACATACGGACAACTTATCAAAAATACAAACGAACTTAAACTTGCTAGATAATTCGGAGTGAAGGACTCAGTCGAACCTTTTCTTCACATTGAGATAAAGAAAGCCAAGGCTGACTCTGAGTCCATCTATGGTTCATGTGGTTTCGAAACTCAAGCTGGCATTTTTGACCGAATTTGAAATTTGTAGATGAGATTACGCGGCAGCAGGAAGTAAAATATTTTCTCTTTGCTAGTCTACCTCACCAGTGTTGAGGTAGTTTGGCGTGCGAAGACCAATGATGCGACGATTGGGCACGTCATGCTTGGGCCATTTTGACTGTCTGCATAGATGTGGATTGCTTCCCTCGCTTATCGATTGTCTGTCTCCTTAGCAGTTGGACTTTCATTTATCTACTCAATGCAGTGGCGAAATCGTTTTGGCTCTCGACTTATGATCTACCGGTCACCGATTCGAACTTGAGCAGCCATGGACAGCCTCACGGTATCCAGGACCTCATGCGACTCGTACTCTGAATCGTCGGCGAAGCTGTGCTGGTCGTAACGAGAGGCAGCCGAAACCTCAAGAAAGTTGTCCCGTTGATGCCATTTTATCGTCGCTCGATAATCAGCTGTCTGTGAATGTGTTGTTGGTCAAGGTGTGGGTGCCCTGACACTGAATGTTTGCTCATGGCATCTCCATCCACCCTCCTGTCATTTGTATAGGGCCGCGGATCATCATCTCGTGTGATGGTAAAGCACCACTTTTACTTACCGATTTATTGCTATTGACTATGATGATGTAAGGAGATTCCTACATACTACTGGTATTTTCTGTTCATGTCTATCCCTCTAGCCGGACATTTATGTAGACGCTACAGCTAGTTGGTCCGCCCTGTATGTTTTGCCCGTCATTCTCTCACGTTTTCTTGTGTCACTTTTTGCGGGGTTTTTATTCTGATGTTGTCTGTTAAACTTCTCTAAACCCTTCGCTTTGTTAACTTTGGTTTACTAAACTGGCTGAATGGTTTGTAAGCCATTCGTACTTTCTACCGCCTGCTCATCCTCATGCCTTCCGGTTTGTTCGTGCCACTATGCGCATGTCATATCAGACAGTCTTAATGGCTTGCATTCACCAGGCACATTGTTCGCTTACATGCCGTGCATCCTTTTTTTCAACGTGCATACCAACCTGTATGAGACTTGGTGTGTTCGGGTAATGTGATGGCCACAGAGCACGCTGCAACCGAGTAGATTCGTGTCATGATTTCAAGCGGGGAAGTTCCTGCTGTCTATATCACTGACTGAACTCCGCGATAAACCTGGTCCAATGCTGAAGCCGGCGACTACTACACTTATCAGTTTCGTCGATAACTCTGGAGTTTTTCGCCCCCTTCCCCCGTATGACTCGACATAATTCGAGACCTCGGTGTTTACTGTGCTCTGTTCTTGGATCATAGCTCATTTTCGGAAGTGTTCAAACTGGCGCGAAGCTTGCCGTGGAATCCAGTGCTGGATCGAGTATTACATAATAAATGTGGCAATTTTTGGCGAACCACTCTGAGATTGCACGATCTTTCGACGTACTCTTTGCATCTCGGGTGTTCGTGGTGCTTCAGCAATCGTATTAGATGTCACCAGCGATGCTTGTTATTCAGATAGGTATAATAAATTGCAAAAGTGTATTAAATGTTTCTTCCGCTAATCACGATAATCCATACAATATGCTCCCGTTGATGGAGATTGTATTGTCGTGATAGAACCCATTCACACTAAAGACCGTGTTTGCAACTGATTTTACAATCCATTTTCTTCAACTTATGGCCGATTTAGCCCCTTCTCATCGTGGATTGATCCAGCGGCTGCTGGTGGTTATAGTCTCATTTACCTAGGCTCCGACCGATGTTGGTTCTAAGGCCAAACATGGACATGGGGACGTCAGATTGGTGTTTTGAACTGTTGACTAATACCGATCTTGTTGTGTTCCCCTACTACCCTAAGGCTGCATCGACTCACTCTGCTCCTTACCATTATTACATTTTCTTGGCGACAAGATGTGGCTGCCCCACGTGGCCATCTCTTCCTGTCGACCACCCACTCTTGATTGAATGATAGCCCCAACTTTCAGCTACCCTGAATAACCCGTCCTATTTTCGTGCTCTACCGCGATTATTGACGCCAGTTTCATGTCAACTGGTTATCGATGTACAGTCTACTCGTATGTTGCCGGGACGTGGTGGTACTGTTGACTCCCCACCCCTCTCTCTCCATTTTCCAGGTAAAATAAAATACACGGAAGAAGTTTACGAAGCCTGCATGGAAGCATTTGACTGTCTACCTTTGGCGGCCCTCATGAATCAACAATTCCTTTGCGTCCACGGTGGACTTTCACCGGAGATTCACACTGTGGATGATATACGACGTGTAAGCATTTCTCCGAGAGAGAGCAACGTGGCTTCCCACCTTGTGCGCGTAACACATTAAGCCATCCTTGTTGCTTTTATTCTAACTTCCATTTGCCTCTACTGATTTTGCTCCGAGTTTCTTGCTGTCCTCATCACTTGCATTTGTGCATAGCGCTTTCCTCGTTTTGTTTGGTGTTTTGTCCCTCCATTTGATTCAGTGCCCATCACGCCACTAGCTGTAGAGTACCTCAATGTTACTTCTAGCATTGGCATCAGGTTACCCAACTCGCGAGATACGCACCACCATAATGTGTAGTGACATCCACTGGGTTTGAGATACTAATTCATTGGTGGACCACATGACAGTGATTTCACCAGACAGTGGCTTTTAGCCCCGGATATTTGCAATGCACTGTGGTTTTTATCCGGGTGCACGATGCCATTGAAACACAGCACTTTGCGCTTTTTGTTTTTAGACAAGGTTGGCCAGACACACACACACACACGCGCTGGTCGTTAGAAGTGAACGCAGTTTCCGCATCACACTACCACCTGCACACAGGAGCGCGTTGCGCAACCCCAAATCATAACCTTGAATTGCGCGACTTCTGTCCACAGGTTACTTGGTTATTTCCAGAAACGAGGCTTCACGTTTGTCCCCGCTTTACGTGCAATCCACTTCAATCATCTACTTCCTCTTTCCATAACACTTTCACAAAATCAGGAGAGCTTTGCGTAATTTCCGCGCTGTATTTTTTCGTCTCCTTTTGATTCACCGTTTGTTCCTACGTTATTCATTATCACTCTGTCCTCCTGCAATGCTCACGTCGCATTACGCTTCTATGTACCTCAACCTCACTTCTGTATATACGTATGTGACTAATGTACACTGTACTTTATAGTAAGTAGAAATGAATTCTGTGCAAATCCTACTGAAAAACGTTGTAAAAATTGTCAGCTGTGATCATAATAATGATAATAGTAATAATAATAATAGGTATATTTCTCTTGATGAGAGAAACTGTGTTTATAGCGGCACAGATTAATTTGTGCAGACGAATCCATGCGCTTGCATGGGTGACATGCATAGGTGGAGTATTGGGATATACGTTTCATGTATTAACATTCTGGCGGATTGTTGAGGACAAAGCCTAGTTATGAAAACATTGGTGTTTGGATGTTTTTGGGCCCCTCTTAGAATACCTCATCGAGGGATTTTTCCCATGTGAATAAAGAGCATAGGGTAGTTAGATCAAGGTAATTGGCGTGTCTGCTACCAAATGTTGCCACATTATCACATGACCTGAGTGTTATTGGTAGTTTATTCCACAGATAGCTGTATCTGTCCAGGAAGAAATCAGAGTGGACGTTCGTTCTAGCATTCGGTATATTCAGTGTAAAACCTTTGTTGCGAAGTGCTCGGGTTTAGCAATGTTGTAAATTGAGTGTAGACAGGTTAGGATAGGTCTTTTTGTGTAACTTGTTGAAAAGCAGCAACAAGTTGTGCTTCAATCACCAAATCCAAAGTCGTTCGAGATGACGTTCATTGCAACCTTCTCGATAATTCATTGCAGAGAGTCTACCAATCAGGTGCATAGTAAATGACCTCTGCAAGTGCTCTACAGCAATTCTGTCACTCTTTCTCATATTACCGTATATCATGCCACAGTATTCGAGCATGGGGCGGGTGAGTGGCTTGAAAAGCTCAAAACTAGTGTGAGTTGAGTGTGTTTCGTTTGATATATTGAACATAGACTGTCTGGCACGTGCTACTTGCTATCGGTCCTGTACGGAATAATTGAAGGTAGACGAGTACCGAAATCCAACATCTCTCATGAACAGCTGTGTAGGGACGTGTTCATTATGGAGCAAGGACGAGTATAGCGTGATGGATTTGTTTCTAGAACTGCTCCACAGCGGTGTACACACTGGTAGAGAGGAAAAATACTTCCCAGTCGGAGAAACAGATGAACCGCTGAAAGCATTCCCAGTTTATCTTATGCATTTCAACTGGCGGTGTAGAGCCGAGTTTAGTGACCGGTTTAATTTGCAAATTGAGTCGGATCATTTTATGGTCGCTGCCAGGGAGATTGTTTAAGATCTCGGTCTGTGGATTAGGTATCCCCAATGTGAATATTAAGTCCAGTACATTGGTGGACCTGGTTGGACTGGTAATCCATTGTGTCCAGCCCCCTGCTCTGATGGAAGAAAGAAAAGATGTGTGCAAGGTAGACGTTGGGTGCGATGAGCAGCGTATTTTCGGTAGGCTGAAATCGCCGACAGTGATCTTCTGGCTGTGTGGCAACTCCGATGCGAAGTCCAATGCAGAAGTGATGTTGGTGATACGATAGACGGAATCGGTGGATTGTAGATACATGCGAGCAGTGTGTAAGATGAGACACCCGCAACTGACAGCCAAATAGACTCAAGGATATTTTCCAATACTGAGTGGTCTATATGTTTAGCTGTGAATGTTTTGTGTAGGTATATAGTACACCCTCCGCCTTTTCTGTCGCAGCGACCTTTTCGAAATAGCTGGTAGTTTGGAAGCATCAGAGTAGAGTCAAACGTATCTGAAAGCACCATGTTTCAGTGACTAGAATCGTCTGTGGCTCACTGAACTATACAAATGTGTTTATAAAATGAAGTTTGTTGATTATGGATCTGGCATTAATCAGAATCACTGGAAATGTTCAAGTATTGGGGAATTCTCGCTGTCTGTTGTGTGATCATCTGAATCTTTGCGTTCGAACATCGTGCACATGGTAGGTAAGTGCGAGTATGGTGGGCCCGACTTAGTCTCTAGAACGTTTGTTGATAAGCGCGGCATGTTATTTGTGGATATCAAGACAGTTGGGAGCAAGACGTGAACCCCGGCATCATGCTTAGGTTGCCGTTCCTTTGCCAATGGATTAGTTTTATCCTCTGGACAAATTGGTGGAAGGGTGGGATCAAGATATTGACCTCCGGCTGATGCATCTGAGATGTTAATGGGTGCGAGACCATTCCCGTAATTGCTAAAACTTGGTTGTTGGTAGGAGCCGCTTGAGAGGTTGAAGATACAGGGAAAGGAACGGGTGGTAACATACTCCCACTGGCCGATGTCATTTCATTATCTGTGCATCTCCAGCGATTGTTGTAGACTTTAGGATGATAATTAGGCGTAGCCAAGGGACGGTTGTTATTGGTCTTATTCAACACGGAAGGTTGTTTGTCCTGATGGTTGGATGAGGTTGGTTGGGAGGGAATTTTGTGTAAGACCGAGTATTCAGTATCCAAAAGTTTTTAATGATACAGTTCCCTGGACTGGACAAGTCGTCCTTGGGTGACAGTGGATTATGAATTACATCAGGTTGTCTATCCTTGGACGTGTCTTGTTGGTTTGGACCGGATTGTGATATATTCAACGAGTTGTCGTTACTCCACTGTTCCAAGCAGTTAGACTTTCTTTTAATCCTTATGCATGAGAAATTCGATATGGTGGGAGTGCTGTTGTCGGGAGTAGGGGAAGCCGCATTATCCGTTCGTTGTGAAGAGGATGTTTCAGTGGAACAAGGAAGGACGGCTTTAGAGCTAGTTGAGAACGTTGTTAAATTATAGAGGTCCAACTCAATGCATCCAGTATCCACCCTGGATACACTCGTATTTTGTACGTTTGGCTGGGATTTCTCGAAGAGCCCAATTATTTTTTCCGGTGTTCGCGGCACAGTGCCAATTTCGGACCTCTGTAGGGGTGTCCTATCTAGTTTATACAAAATGCCATTAAAATGGGTGCACTGGCGTAGGATGGGTCCACAATGTAGGATTCGCTGCGCGAGTGACTCGCTTAAAAATTTGAAAATGTTGGGACAACGATGTTTCGGTGTCTTCCTTTTTAAACATTGGTATTTGCAGTCAACCTCAGACATGTTACAAGCTTTCAGTATGGTTAGTTTTACTTTGTCTAGACGCAACCTGTCCGGAACATTAAAAACAATCACATTTTGGCTCTACATATTGCTTTGTGCACTTCAGAGGCAATTAACTGTCTTGCTTTTCCCATTAGAACAGGATCAGCATTCTCCAATGGGTTATTGATGAAGTCGAGCGTAATCAGGTGCTCTTTGAGGGGTTCAAAGAGTGCCAGCATTTTTATCATCTCATTAAGTTGGGATTCCCAAGAGAGTAATTTATCACTTAGTCCTGTGATGATTTTGCTTTTTGCCGGCGAACAGATTTCGCTTTTCTTTTGGGGTCTCGCATTTTATTCGCTTTGCTGGTGTCGTGGAAAGTACACTACGCTTAGCTTTCCGAATACAAAGAGACTTCGGTGGGGCCATTGCGATCTAAGCTTGTCAATGTTCAGACTCAGCATCAAGGTAACATCTTATTTATTTGACTCGCGGTATTGCAGGACTCACAGCTGTGAAATGTTGTCCTAAGTGTCTAATCGTTCGTTCTGAATCGTATGGTGGTTAAATATAGATACAACAACATTTTGAACTACTGCACGAATGTGGCCTCCATCACGTTTTAATGCAGACTGTTATAGGTATTTCCCACTTTTCGTTCGAAGCAGTGTGTAAGCAACTCGCTTGAAATCCGCCACCACCAGTTTGTATCTGTGTCCGCGTGTTCTGCATGACCCTCTTAAGTGCCTCATTGGCCTCAGCATGGGGAACTTACTGAAATGTCGTATACGGTACGTCATAATGAGGTTGACTCGCACCCCACGGTAGGACATGATGAAGAGTCCTAGTCTTTCGCACCGGTCTTCATACCGCGACGCATGTAAACTCGGGATTAGCTTGGTAGCACCCTGTTGGACCCGTTCGATCTTCTATACCTCGCCTCGGGTAATCGAAAAGTTGGCAGACGAACCGTACCCTAGCATTGGTTTAATGATGGAAAGATACGTTTCGACCTCTTCAGACCATGTGCCGATGCTACGTTTGAGCTACGTATGTGATACCCCCTCCACGTTTTCCAGTGCAACGATATTTTCGCGATAGGTGGTAATTTGGAGTCATCAGAATAGAA